CCGCGTGAAAAAAGCTCACCCGCTACGGGTTCCGAGCCGGTTCCGGATCGGCCCACAAATTTTGGACTACAACCCGCCCCATCCGATGATCCATCCGGGTCAAGCTCATGCGGGTCACGGGTCGCGCGGGTCGCGGTTTGTTTCGATTTGACCCGTATTATTGTATAAATAAAATTATAAAAATATAGAATTTTTCATATTTATAGCAAAAAATATTTTTTTGTTAAATGTAAACTAAAAATTGAACAAAATGATAAATTCATATTTATACAAAGAAATGTTTACGTAAAATTAAAATTTAAGATTATATGAATTATTTATAACTTTGCAAAGTTAAATAACAATTAAATGCGTTTCTAATTACTATTATCAAATATTTATAGTATAAGTACATCTCAATTAGGTTGACACCTAGTTTTATTATAATTTATAGTTTATGTACATCCCAACTAGGTTGACACCTACTTAAATCTTAACTATAATTTAATTGTTCAAAAATTATATATTTTAATATTTGTATATCCTAATTTCAATTATTTACTTTTATATATTTNAATTTAGTCTTAACTCTCCTCCCTTTTTTTCAAATAAAAAAAATAAAATAAAATTCCACGGGCCGTGGGTTAATCGCGGCCCATGAAGGTGCAACCCGCGAAACTCGCGGGTCACACCTCCTTGATCCGTGAACCGCCCGCTCGAGTCATGGGTCGGCCCGCGGCCTCGAGTCGATTCGGGCTGATTTTCACGGATCTTGTCGATTCGTCCGTCTTGACTCCTCTAAATAGGCCCTTAGTTCTACTCATTTAAGGGACAATAAACAAGACCTGCTATTGGAGTTTATTACATGTTTCATTGCACATATGTATGCATACAGGTAATTAAACTTAAATATCCATAAAAATAGAAGTTGATTACGGGAATTCTTTTTAACATTTATCTTTTTCAGGAAAAGATTTAGCACGCGTTTGGTGGATATTAAAATCAGATTTTTAGTACATTTTAATAAAAGTTGATGAAATGTGTGGTTAAAATTATTTATTGATTTTGATTTAAATTAAAATATGAATTTTGATCTTTACCAAACAGAGGCTTAATGTATTAATGTAATAGTTCCCAAACACATCAAGCCATTATAATTTTAGTCTCTAGTTGATTCTCGTGAAAGATAATTTCTTCAAGTATATACAATACATGCCTTATTCCATGCCATTTCTATTCATTGAAGTAGTTTTCTCATTTGGTCAAAGATAATATTAATATTTTCATTTCTACAATATAACTCCATGCCTACGTGTCTCATTAAATTATATGGCCATATCAAGAAAAACAAGAACCCTAAGGCCCTGTTTGATAGGATAAGTTTTTTATGAAAGATGAAAACTTTTTTGTCATTTATCACTTTTTAAAGTGTTTGATAGAAAACATTTTTCAGGTAATTGGTTTTCCATCTTTTCTTGGTTTGTCACATTTTCTTACTTTTTGAGCTAAATCATTTCGCACTACTTTGGTGGGAATTGGTTTTCTAATTTCTAGGCCGCTTATTATTATTATTATTATTATTATTATTATTTTGTACAATGGAAACAAATTATATCTCAAATTGTAACAAATTATATCTATTTAATGGATAATTTTTATGAAAAAAAAAGTCAAACGAATACCAAAAGGTCCAAAATTTCAATATTTTTCAGGTGAAAAATTATACTAATAAAATACAATTAATTGACAATTCTCAGTAAAACAAGTTATAGGCAATTCAATTCAATAAAATTCATTTTCTTTCCATCCAAATTCCATTCTTGCAATCAAACGGATCCTAACAAGAACATACACAATATATGTTTTGCAAGTGTTTATAAACGGTCAAAAATACTCAAATCAAATTTTATTGTCTTATTTCGTGGGATCCACAAATACTACCCACACATACATCATCTGTTTTATTTGTTTATAAACAAAACATCTTATAAACATTCCCCAATTCAACCGTGTAAAGGTTGAAACACAACTCAGCCCAATCAAGTATCGATTGGATCGGGTTGAATTGGTCGGTTTGGGACGACTTGTCAACAAAAATTAAAGTCGTCCAATTTTCTGTTATACTAAATTCAAATAGATAAGATTAAATAGTAAGTAAATAAATAAATAAAATTATCTATTATTTTATTCAATTATCATTATCCGAGCCTACAAAAAACAAATTGCATTTAACATAACATGAAAAACGTATACTACATTTCTTGTGGGAAGAACAGTAAACTCCTCCTCTAAAATACACCAAGGTAATTATAGTTACTATCTACTCATACTTTTTAGGTTTCTTTTACTTTTTTAGGCATTTTATTTCTTTTATTAACCCGACCCGCCCCGACCCGCATACACAGTCAACCCACCCAATCCGTGTAAAAAAAAAATCGACCCAACCCGACGAGGTTGGTTCAGTAAAAAAAATTTCACGGGCCAGCGGGCTAATTGCGGCCCATGAAGGTGCAACCCGCGAAACTCGCGGGTCACACCTCCTTGACCCGTGAACCGCCCGCTCGAGTCACGGGTCGGCCCGCGGTCTCGAGTCGATTCGGGCCGATTTTCACGGGTCTGGTCGATTCGTCCGTCTTGACACCTCTAAATAGGCCCTTAGTTCTACGCATTTAAGGGACAATAAACAAGACCTGCTATTGGAGTTTATTGCATGTTTCATTGCACATATGTATGCATACAGGTAATTAAATTTAAATATCCATAAAAATAGAAGTTGATTACGGGAATTCTTTTTAACATTTATCTTTTTCAGGAAAAGATTTAGCACGCGTTTGGTGGATATTAAAATCAGATTTTTAGTACATTTTAATAAAAGTTTATGAAATGTGTGGTTAAAATTATTTATTGGCTTTGATTTAAATTAAAATATGAATTTTGATCTTTACCAAACAGAGGCTTAATGTATTAATGTAATCGTTCCCAAACACATCAAGCCATTATAATTTTAGTCTCTAGTTGATTCTTGTGAAAGATAATTTCTTCAAGTATATACAATACATGCCTTATTCCATGCCATTTCTATTCATTGAAGTAGTTTTCTCATTTGGTCAAAGATAATATTAATATTTTCATATCTACAATATAACTCCATGCCTACGTGTCTCATTAAATTATATGGCCATATCAAGAAAAACAAGAACCCTAAGGCCCTATTTGATAGGATAAGTTTTTTATGAAAGATGAAAACTTTTTTGTTATTTATCACTTTTTACTTTTTAGAGTGTTTGATAGAAAACATTTTTCAGGTAATTGGTTTTCCATCTTTTCTTGGTTTGCCACATTTTCTTACTTTTTGAGCTAAATCATTTCGCACTACTTTTGTGGGAATTGGTTTTCTAATTTCTAGGCCGCTTATTATTATTATTTTTTTGTACAATGGAAACAAATTATATCCCAAATTGTAACAAATTATATATATATTTAATGAATAATTTCTATGAAAAATAAAGTCAAACGAATACCAAAAGGTCCAAAATTTCAATATTTTTCAGGTGAAAAATTATACCAATCAAATATAATTAATTGACAATTCTCAGTAAAACAAGTTATAGACAATTCAATTCAATAGAATTCATTTTCTTTCCACCCAAATTCCATTCTTGCAATCAAACGAATCCTAACAAGAACATACACAATATATGTTTTGCAAGTGTTTATAAACGGTCAAAAATACTCAAATCAAATTTTATTGTCTTATTTCGTGGGATCCACAAATACTACCCACACATTAATCATCTGTTTTATTTGTTTATAAACAAAACCTCTTATAAACATTCCCCAATTCAACCGTGTAAAGGTTGAAACACAACTCAGCCCAATCAAGTATCGATTGGATCGGGTTGAATTGGTCGGTTTGGGACGACTTGTCAACAAAAATTAAAGTCGTCCAATTTTCTATTATACTAAATTCAAATAGATAAGATTAAATAGTAAGTAAATAAATAAATAAAATTATCTATTATTTTATTCAATCATCATTATTCGAGCCTACAAAAAACAAATTGCATTTAACATAAAATGAAAAACGTATACTACATTTCTTGTGGGAAGAACGGTAAACTCCTCCTCTAAAATACACCAAGGTAATTATAGTTACTATCTACTCATACTTTTTAGGTTTCTTTTACTTTTTTAGGCATTCTATTTCTTTTATTAACCCGATCCGCATACACAGCCAATCCACCCAATCCGTGTAAAAATAACAAAAAAATCATGGGTTGGGCTGCTCCAACCAAGTCTTTGGACAGTTTAGACGGGTTCGGTCGAGTTTTGCCCACCCCTAATTACAGCTGTGGCCTAAAAAATAAGTTCACTTGCAGTAGTTGGACTCTCATAAATTGGATCCTCAGACGATCCGAATCCGATATGCTCGGGTCCCTCTAACTGCCATGAAAAAGTATAGTAAGTATAGTATCCATCATTGTGTTCTGCACTGTCCATTGAAAGATCTGGTAGATCACAAAATGTGTCATCATCAACAGATTCTTGAATGTGTTCATGTGAAAAATTTGTAGATGAACGAGAATTGGGTAGGTGGGCTTTGCTCAGCCGTGCTTCAGCTTCTCCACCGCCATGAATTGTGGCGGCAGCCGCCTTTGCAGCCGCATCTTGGATGTCCTTTGGTGACGTCGAGGCGGGCCTGGGAAGTTCATGAGCCAAATGTGGGAAGTTAAGATATGCTGAGTGACCTTTGATTGCTAAAGCTGCTGCATCATGTGCTCGGGCAGCCATTTCTGGTGTTGGATATGTTCCAAGCCATATTCTTGATTTCTTCTTAGGTTGTCGGATTTCCGACACCCATTTGCCCCAACTACGCTTGCGTACGCCGCGATAAGTTGGATGCTTATTATCATTGACTTTGTCACTTTTTTCACCTTGACCCTTTTTCGAGTTCATGTGAGCTTCGCCCTCATTTAGACTCTTCTCACTTTGAGCGGAAGAGGTCGGCGTAAAATTCGTGGAGGAGGAGGATCGGGTCCTCGAGGGAGAATTCGTTGAAAACAATGTGGAAGAAAACATTGACGAGTTGGTGGTGGCAACGGCGACATCGTCTTGAACTAGACTCTCGAAGTTGAATTGTTCTTGCATGGTAAGAGGCCTTGTGGCTGATTAGAAAAGAATGTAATGATGCATATAAAATTGGAAATTGAGTTGGGGTTTATAAGATTCTTGATAAACAAGAAATTATTTCAAAATAAAAGAAAATGGAAAAAGAAAAAGCAAAAAAGAAACATGAAACATGAAACACGAAACACTAAAAAAAGTAGAGTACAGTAAATCAAGTGGCACTTTCATGTTAATGTGTACCATATACTTTCCAAGCACCTTTCAAACATGTATACCCATTTGTCCTGTCCTTGGCCAAGCAATCATGTTAATATATCTCGTATTTTGTAATAATGTCCAAAACATACATCCGAAAACACGATATATGCAACTAAGTCTTATCAAATTATTGTATAATTTTTCTTGTCAGTCATAATAATTAAAATAACACCGACACAATGATCATTGTCATATATAGACCACAACACTTTATTGAATTGATCAATTAAATTTTGACGAAATTAAAGAAAATTACAACAAATAAGCAAGATTTAACTATTATTGAGAGGAACAATTTTTTTTTTCTATTTTGCTATAAAATTCTCACAATCATGCTACAGGGCTAGATATGTTGACAGAAAGATTGACATAATGACATATGACATTATATCATTATACCGTTTAAATTATAGTCAATTTTTCCATCCAGTCTTCTACTACCACATACACTTTTGTCACTGCATCTATCAAAATTATTCTGGCAAACTGGCATAATCCAAATTCGCATATGTATTTTGTTATTATGTGGGATGAAGACAATGAAGTCAACACTTGTACACATGACTATTTATTTATAAATGGTTTTTATAAGTTTTATCTATAAATGATTTCAAGCCATAGGTGGATCTTGAAAATGAATTCATGAATTAAAATATTTTAATTATGGTACACATGACTCACATGAAAGTGGGTCCCAAATGTTAAAAATTTGGTCTAGTGATTGATTTAGCCCGTGTTTGTCTATTATTATTTTAAAATTCATTTTTAACTACACGTTTTCACAATAAAATATTTTATATGCAAATTTAAAAAAATTTCTTATATTTTAACCACGCATTTTTTCAAAAATTCACTATTTCAAAATTCATTTTTCCAATTTAGAATATGTTTGATGTGGATTAAAATTCGATTTTTAGTAGAATGTGATAGAAGTTTTTGAAATGTGTGGTTGAAAAGTTGTGGGACCTATGAAATATGTGATTAATATTGATCATTTAATTTTAACTTGGATTCAAATCAAATTTTAATTCGAACCAAACAAAGGCTTAAGGATAGATAAAGAGGAGCTAACCTTTAAGGTAATATTAACACGGGTCTTGTCAATTATTTAACGTCCTTTATGCTCAACATAAAGGTAATATTTTTATGTCCTCTCATTTTACACCTTTTTTACGCTCGACATTTGGTGATTGAGCCATGAAAATTATGACAAATGAAAGATTGGATCGGACCATGAATAAAAGGATCACGTGTGTGAAAAATGAATGGTGAATAAAGATATGGTATTTGTCTATTCCTTGAAATGTATAGATACAAAATGATTTGAATATTTATAAAGATAGCCAATGGAAATGTAAAGTTTTTCATGTCACACTTCAGGAAGTGTTTGATATGTAAGACTGATTAGAGTTAGAGTACGATAATTGACAAAATTTTGATGCATCTTTTAGAGGTTTCCTAGAACGGATCGATTATGGGTTGAAATTTGCCGAGACCTAAATTAACCAATTCTTAGAAGATTTTTTAAAGGTTTCCAATTGATTTTGGTTGAATCAACCGGTCAAGATGGATTTTGTTAGCACAAATACAAACTTGATTATGATCTTGAAAAATGGAATACTGATGCAACTATAAGGGAGATAGAGTGGGCTGTTGCTGCCACCCCAGCAAATTTTTTTCCTTTTTTTTTTTTTTTGGAATAATTCATTTTTCTTATTTTTACTTTACACTATTTCAAAAATAACAAAACAACTTTCACATTTCAAAAATCATATATTTTGACATATACATACGCGCAACCGCTCCGATGACTATTCCGACGAACGTTCCGATTTCGGCGATTTCTCCTGCAACCGTTTCGGCAACTACTCTGATTCCAGTGACCGTTTCCAGCGACTACTCCAATTCCAACGAAAGTCACATCCCAGGTCATAACTCATGTCAAAGGCCAATTCACAAGTCACAGCCCAGGTCACAACCAAGATTTTGTTTATTCAGTGCCCAATAAAAGTTTACTACACAACACATGTTACAAAATATTTTTGCATATAGCTCAGATTAATATTTGTCACAAATTGTCGAATTTTAAGGTTAGAGTAAATCCATTATGTGGTCACAATTAGTCTATTATAAGGTCCCAGTTGGTCACGAAACACAACATAGATTCGAACAACCGTCGCCCGTACCTCACCACACCACCACAACCACCGAACCATCGCCTGATTCGCACCATCACCATTAAAAAAAAAACACCGCCTCAGCCGGCTCAGCTGCCTGTAAGCCGGCACCACCTTACAGTCAAACCGCCACCATTTACAAACCACCACCACCCAAACACCATTAAAATCACTTATCCACCACCACGCCCACATATTACCTCCACCGCACACCGCCCACCACAGATCCACCATCACGCCCAAAACACCAAAAAAATAACACTACCACACACCGTACCCTCACTACAACGAATCACCACCTGCACCACCCCTACCTCACCATCTCCACCACAACCACAACCACCACACAGAACACACAGATCAACACATGTACGCCACAAATCTCCCATAGTCACCACCGCCCACATATGGAAAGAGACAGAGATCTCGTACCCTCATGTGTTTACCATTTACTGGTTTTGTTCCTAGATCCTTGAGCAGCAACTAAAGCCACCAAGTAGCTAAGCTGAACAATTGAAAACAGGCAAACAAGTAACTGTTGTTTTCTGTTGTGATTGATTCTTTTGGATCTTATTTTTAATATCGTGTGGTTTGGGAATTTTCATTATCTACTCTAGATAACCTAGTTTATGAAAATTTACTAAAATTATCTAATGGTGAGGTTGATTCAAAGATGATTGAAATAGTAGGAATGAGGATCCACTTATTAATATATTTTAGGAAAATTCCGTGAGTACAGGGAATTTTACCAGAATTTTACCCGAAAATGTTCCTAGCCTTTGATTTTTTTTTTCCCNGTCTGTGATTTTTTTTTTCCCGCCTTTTTGTATAATTCCTGGCCTTTGATATCAAAAATCTGGCAATTGTCTGGCAAATGTTTCTGTACCTATAGCACGGTTCTATATTTTAACTTCAAATTCTCGTTAATTAACTCTCATTCATGATCTTTGCAATAACTGATTATTGTAGACTCACGTCTACCTAATTAGCCCCAGCTAGTTTTTGTTGGCTCCTCTTTTCACTTTTTCTTTTGCTTTCATATTCTAATCTTCAATGTCCACCAAAATATTGTGGTTCTTCTCCTTTTTCTCTCCTTTTGCATTTTTCAATGTTAAATTCTTGTCTCCAGTTTAAAACCTAGATTCTTCTTACTATATTATCATTTTCACCAATGTAACTCTGGTTTGGGGATTTCATACTACAAATCAAATGTAAACATGGACTCAATAAATTTCGACTCTAACACTCAAAATGTAAGTAAAATGTCTTAAAATAAGGATCTAAGTAAATGTATATAAAATACACTTATCACGCACAACCTAACTGCTGTTGCTATTTTGGCCGCAGTTAATATTGACTAGGTTGATTGCATTCTACACTTTCTTGCAATGTTTGCTTATGTCGATATTGATTAATGGAATATATTTGTTGCTAATATATAGGGTTATTAAGTGCGGCTTGAGCCGAGCAACAAAAACCTCGTATGAGTCAATCGTAAGCTAACACGAGTTGGCTCGCGAGTCAACTCGTAATTGGTGGATGAAAATATAATTTTTTAAAATATATATATATTAGCAAGCTAAGTCCACATTTAATAAAGTGATCTACCTCGTGCTCAACTCAACTCGACGAACACGCGAATATATTTTAATTACACATTGTACATACACTTGATAGATCATGTTAGATTTTTTAATATGCTACTTATACATACCCCACACTGAAAACTGTCCACAGAACTGTAGAGAACTTTCCTTGTGTTTCTAATGGAATTACTACTTTAAGAGAAAATTGTAGAAGATGTCCCTGCCCTTTTACTTTTTTGCAAACTGTACTTTAATTTTCACTTTGTACTAGTCATAGTCCTAAACATTTCAAAAATATGTACATGGGATTCAAATGGATCCATCCATTTGAACGTTAGTTGACCGAAAAGTCAAAATTTAATCAATTTTTTGACCAAATTAAAAAGGACAAAATGGTACTTTATATTTTTCTTACATTAAATAAGTTACAAAAATTAAATTAAAAAAAACAATTAGAAGAATTAAACTAAAAATAAAAAATCCACCCACCCACCCACGCACACCTATCCATCTTCATCATCTTCTTTTTCTCCTTGTCGGCAACGATCACGATGCCATCACTCTCTTCTCTCTCCCAAACCTACTATATCTTCTCCTCCACGTACAGTTGTCACCCCATACTCATCTTCTTCTCCAAACTATTGTAGATCTAGCGGCTAATAGACTTGTGGCAAAAGCTGCTAAATCGTAGATATGAAACATGGGTACTGTGTAGATGAAAGATGAAATTAGTCAATTAAAGGATGAAATCAGCGGTCATTATAGTCAAACATGAGCTCCAAATCAAACAATTTCCCATGGAATGGTGGTGGAGAGTAATCTGGAGGAGACTCGAGATTTCGATTTGGATTGGGCGGTGATTGAAAGGCAGAGAAATGGTGGTGGATTTGGGCGGTGGTTGAAGGCAGGGAAATGGTGATGGATTTGGGTGATGTTTTTGGACAATGGCTGAAGGTAGGGGAATAGTGGTAGATTTCGACGGTGGCTGAAGGCAGTGGAA